TCTAAATTGTATTAAGGTTGTTATTGTTTGACTTGCATCCCACTGGGATTTTTGCACACAGCATTGATATACGGTGCTTTTTCTGGAAGTGTTGTTGTATTTTCCTGGATTTTTCTGTTGCGCATAGTCACTTTAAGATGTTTTTTGTTCATGTTTTTGTTTTTTTTCGATTTAAAGCTTTCGTGACTGCAGGGATTCATCTTCTTGGTTCTTTCGGTAAAGTCACGTAGAAGGGAAGTAATAAAATAATAAAAATAAAACATAATAAAACAACAATTCTCACGACGTTTCGGCCACAACGCAAGCAGGACGGCTGCTTGCGTTGTGGCCGAAACGTCGTGAGAATTGTTTTATTATGTTTTATTTTTATTATTTTATTACTTCCCTTCTACGTGACTTTACCGAAAGAACCAAGAAGATTTTTGTTTGTTGTGGTTGCACCCGATTCAAGCGCCGCATGGCTCACAGGGCTATACCTAATAAATAAAACTGAACCTTGCCACCGAGTCGGTTGACTACTTTGACGGTTCCATTTCCAAAGGCCACTTTGAAGAAGCAGTCCTGTCTGCCTCGTATTCCTTTTGATTACCAACACCACGTGGTGGTTTAAAGAAGTACAAGTAAAAAAACACATTTTTTTGAGTTCATATTAAGTTATAAGTTACATCATTAAACCACTCCTGTGGCACGTGTAGCAATAAGACTCAAAATGAACAGCACTCACCACTTATACCAACGCTCACACATTTTCACTGTTTCTAGGCCCCCATCTGGCCTGAAATCAGTGAACCAAGACTTACAAGCAGATGCTAAATGATCCGTAATCACCGCAACCCACTGGGTTGTACAAATCATCAACGTTTGGCACATTCCGCTCCATTAATTGGACAGATAATCCTGCCGGATCCACTCTCTGAAATTGTTTTTTTTTTACCACGATGGAGTTTTCCACTTCCCCATTCGCTTTGACGTCCATTATGCTCGGACACAAGGGATGGCCGCAATAATGAGAAGCATACTGTGGCTGGGCTGGAGGTGGAAGCATTGCTCCCGCGTGTGTGAACGTGAATGTGAATGCAGAGCCACGAGAGGAATCCCCCCACAATGCTCCGTCTCCAGTCACCGCCACAAAATGGCGTCGGTCAAGTCTTTCAACTGGCAACAACGCTCATAACACCGCGAAGGGGAATATGAACTTTCAAGCACTCTCGCCCGCCATGGAGTACTTGATATTAACGACATGCTATTTTTACTTCGTGAATTTGCGTCTGTACGTTACAAAGTGTTATCACAATTACGCTCAACGAGAGAATTAATGGCTTATCACTACAGGGTCATCCTTATGCCATCCTAACAAAGACAAGAAAGCCTTTCTCTGCGACAGCATCTCGAGATGCAGTTTCGCCGAGAGGTTAAATAAATACAATTTGTATTGTACGGATTAAATGTAAAGCACCCTTGTGTATTCAAACGCATTTTAAATGAACACAATAACACATTCCTGCGGAGGGAGCTGGTAGGAACTTTGGGTTGCTCGGTCAATGGCCAGGTTCAACGGCGGCGTGGTGTATTCCGCAAATATGCCCGACTTGGAGGGCGGGCACAAGCCGGCGTGAGTAGGTTAGACGTTGAGTTTTATAAGGGCACCACGGGGTGACCAGCCCTCCCCACCCAGCCCCACCCTCCCCACCCAGCCCCTCCCCACCCTCCCCTCCCCACCCAGCCCCTCCCTCCCCACCCAGCCCCTCCCTGCACGACGGACGGTCACAATAATCCCCTTTGGGCTGGTGTAACTAGGAGGTTCCTACCAGTAAAAGACTTGCCTTAAAGTCATTATGTATATCGCAACCAAGTAATTCACAAAACGAGTGAAGCAGCGCTGGTACCCTCCCTACCCTCCCGTGTGTTCTCAAAGCAGCGGGGTCCCAAGAGTTTTCAACACTTGTCTCAAAATATCCCGAGGATAATAAAAAAATGTTTGAGGTTAATTTGAGTGAATATGTTGTAAATTACATGACGTGTTAAATTGATTTGGGGAGAGGTGTGGATGGTGGTTATTCGTGGATTTTCACACTGGTTTATTTTTGTTATTTTATTTCAAGCCCAACAAAACTAGATTATTGATAGATTACAGTCTGGAAATGCTTCCTAGTAGACCAAGTGTACTTTCCCAATAATTGTGCCACAAAATATTCAAACCGTTCAGTTAATTTTTCGATTTAAAGCTTTAGTGACTGCAGGAATTCATATTCTTGGTTCTTTCGGTAAAGTCACAAAGAAGGGAAATAATAAAATAATAAAAATGAAACAATAAAATGTGACTTTACCGAAAGAACCATGAATACGTTCAGTTAATGTTTATTCTATTTCTGTATATAATTTGTATGTATCACTTAATTTTTGAATTATGCACGCTGCACTAATCCAGTAATAATACTGGTAGGAACAACCTGGTTCCACCAGCCCACAGGGGATTATTGTGTCCGTCCGTCGTGCATCCAAAAATGGGAGGGGTGGGGCTGGGTGGAGAGGGGAGGGTGGGGAGGGGCTGGGTGGGGAGGGGAGGGTGAGGAGGGTGGGGCTGGGTGGGGGGGCTGGGTGGGGGGGTCACCCCGTGGTGCCCTTATAAATCTCAACGTTTAACCTACTCACGCCGGCTTGTGCCCGCCCTCACAGTCGGCCATATTTGCGGAATACACCACGCCGCCGTTGACCCTGGCCATTGACCGAGCAACCCAACGTTCCTACCAGCTCCCTCCGCAGGAATGTGTTACATTGTAAAATGACATGAATGGTTGCAGAAAGAGTTTGTTTCCTGAGGGGGTGGGGTGCGGGTTGGAACATATATCGAAATTGGAAACCGAATCCAGAATCGACTCCAAAAGTCTTAGAATCAGCCATCTCTACTTGGGGGCCGTTCATAAATGACATCACGCACCTGGGGGGGGGGGGGGGATCAGACATTTGTGACGATGTGTGACGAGGGGAGGGGGGTTGAGGAATGTGACGTCACATCAAAATGCGCAACTTTAAATAAATATAGACAACACGTTCTACTTAGTTAAATATACTTTTTATTAAATGTTTTTTCCTACAACATCAGAGTGCAGCGCCACATTAAATACGCACTACAATGACAATAGTTTAAAGCGATTTGAAGCATGTTTATTTTAAAAATGGAAATATGGTTTTGGGGGGGAGGGGGGCAGAGCTTTGTGACGTCATATTTGAGGGGGGGTCTGACTTTTTGTGACGCCGTGTGACGATGCGGGGGGGTCAAATATCGTCCAAAGTCGCGTGACGATACCCGTACCCTACCCGATACCCGGCTACCCGTACGGGTACCCGTTTGCGACCCTGGTGCGGCCGGGTACGGGTACGGGTAGTCCGTGAGTCACTGGTGAGTCACCGTTTGTCACTCATTTCCCAACGTCTTGTCTCTTCTCACAATTCAAGTTTCTATAATCAACCCACCCGCGCCTGCAACATGGCTTCATCCCAGAGGTCGCAATCAGGTACCCGATACCCGTACCCTACCCGTACCCGGCCGGGTACGGGTAGGGTACGGGTACGGCCGGGTACGAGTACCCGTTTGCGACCCTGGTGCGGCCGAGTACGGGTAAGGAATCAAAACCCGTTTGCGACCTCTGGCAGTGGGTGGCTAAATGCTGCCCTCTGTCGCTGCTGTATTGTCTCTCAGGACGTGCAGAGAATGTACTGGGGCCCTGAGCACCTGCCTGGTTCCATGAAGCGCTGTAGCCCTCTGCAATGTGTCCTCATGTGAGTAACCCAGAGTCAGCCACGACACCAGGATACAGTGGCGAAGCGTTCTATTTTAGTTCAGAATTCCCCAGAGCCGTTATACCACCGCTTCCCAGCTGCAGGGAGATGACCTTTTGCAAACATTGATACTCTTCAGTTACTTCAGGGGTGGCGTTAACTGCGGAGTACAGAAAGTATCAACCCGTGGGGCAACTCCCCCCCCCACCCCCTGGGGAGGCACCAGAGGTCGCAAACGGGTTTTGATTCCTTACCCGTACCCGGCCGTACCAGGGTCGTAATCGGGTACCCGTACCCTACCCGATACCCGGCTACCCGTACCCGGCCGGGTATCGGGTAGGGTACGGGTACGAGTACCCAATTGCGACCTCTGGGATGAAGCCATGTTGCAGGCGCGGGTGGGTTGATTCTAGGAACTTGAATTGTGAGAAGAGACAAGACGTTGGGAAATGAGTGACAAACGGTTACTCACCAGTGACTCACGGCCTACCCGTACCCGGCCGCACCAGGGTCGCAAACGGCTACCCGTACCAGGCCGGGTACGGGTAGCCGGGTATCGGGTAGGGTACGGGTATCGGGTACCCGATTGCGACCTCTGGGAGGCACGAAAGCCTCTCGGGGTGGGGGGGGGTGGGCGGAGGATGTGGCATGGAGACTGTGCAGGAGAAATGTTGAATGTGCGTGAGTGGGGAACGTCAACGCCACGTTGAAGAACAAAACACCCAAATGCACATGAAACAACTGCCTTACCAACACCGCGTCGACTAGAAGCGTGGACGTGTGATCTGTCTATTTTGGCCTTTGTAGCTTTTGCATGGGGAAGGGGGGATGGGAGTGGGAATCAGTGGACTTGATCGGGGGGTCAACCATGCCTAAAGGGTTTAGTAATGTTTAGCTTACTGCACTATGAACCAAGATGCCTAAGCTTGATTGCTGGCGATGGCCAACATCTGACCACTGACCAGTGGGGGCTGGTGGTCGAACAAACCCACGACCGACACATCTTGGAGGTGCCTTCATCCAGCAGTAGATTCAGGTCATACATTAACAAAAAGTTACTCCAGCTTTCAATAGAAACAATCCCGTCAATAAGTCATTGACACTTTTGCTATGAACTATAAGCCCACCACATACTGTATACAGGGTGTCTGTTAAAGTGTCTTCCACTCTTGAAGAATTGTAATTAGTTTGAGCTGCATCCAAATAACGACACACACTTGTGAAAATGAAGATTTTATTGAACTGGATTTGTTCAACTAAACCTCTACATGCATACAAAATTACGTAAAACTCGGAGTTGTACATGTCCGATATACTTCGCCTTTAGAAGATAAGCAGTAAGTAATTATATTGCAATGCAAGGCGAACATTGCTCTCCAACGGCTTACAGTATATCATGCAAATACCGCTGTGTTTTTACTTGACAGATACACATTTATGTTTGCATGCCCTCAATCTGCTGTTCTTTTAGAGTAACCATATTTCTGACAAAGCGATTTTAAATCATTCACCTCATGGTTTCACTCCACCAAACATCACTTCCTTGATGACCTGAAAATAACCAGAGCAAGCCAAAAACCATTTTAATACAATTCAGAGTGCAATATAATCCATACTTAAGCCACACTTATTAAAATTTGCCTTAAAGAGCCATCAGTAAGTGGACAGATGAATATACAGTAATAGGCAGATTGATCAATGATTATCAAGACACATACAGTCCAAAGATCGATACCATTACTTTGCTCAGCATTTGCCATACAAAATTAGAAACGTACAAGAACACTTAGGCCAACATACAAAATTGAGGTAAACTAAATCAAGATACTGCCTTAACACTGGTGTACAAACACAAACCACAAACACCACCTATGTTGGGTGGAGTTGGGTTTACGACGCATTTAAACTTCCAGGATCTAACCCAAAACTTTTACTGTATTATATAGTCAATAAAACTATTTTAGTATTTTCCTTTCTTTTGCCCAGGCAATGTTAATGGCAAAGTTGGCAAGTGTTTGTTCGTTTTCACAATGAAACTATCCGCTTTGCAAATTGACAAACATCCACACCATTCGTCGTCATCGTAATCAACATCACCAACCTGAGTGAGCTGGTACTCCTCACCGCAGAGCTTCTCAACCAGGTCAAAGTGATCCACGTTAGGCACATCCAGGTAGGTGACATTGAAGCCGGCGCCCTTTAAAGACTTGACAAATAGAACAATAAGAAAGGCTCCATCAGAGCAGCACTGGGGGCACAACTGATTTGGTCTCCCATTCTCTTGAACCACAGTGAGTTTGTTTAAGGGCATTGAAGCAACCTGATGTAACCAGAGTAAGCAGTGTTGGATCGTAAAGGCTGAAATTCCATTTAGTGGACCACAAATATTCCTTTAAGTGAATTTATACGCACTGAAAGTTACTTACTCTTTCCCTTTGAATGATTATCATTCAAAATGTGAGTTATAACTCCCTGAGACGTTACTAGCAGGTGTGAGTACATGTTCAAGAGGGCAGGTCTCGTTCACTCCGTGCACAAAGCATGAACACACACCCACTGAATGCATCATATCACACCATCAAAGACACGTTTCCCAAAAAAAAACGTTTCGTTTTTTGGGGTCATGAATAAGTTACCGAAAGAACCAAAGAGTATGCATTCCTGCAGGCACGAAAGCTTCAAATCAAGAATCAAGACATATATTCATAATTATTTAAAATTATCGACCAAATACTAACATTAATCCTATCATTTTGAATGAGTATGTTACATACAGTCAAATATTAAATGCAGCCTAATATACAGGGTGATCCATTTATAGAAAGCCCACTGATTTATGACCCTTTAAATGTATTCTCAACAGGTGAGTGAATCTCGTGAAAGCAATGGCTCCATATCTTACAGAGGAACAAATGAAGATAGTAGCACGGATGGAAAGTATCATATCTGGGGCTCACACATATGTATAATTTGTGTATACGCCACTGCAAAGAAACATTATATACAGATTGTATCGCAAATTCTATAACACAGGTCCGATTAAAAAAGTAAATAAAAACAACAACAATTGTAAGAACTGATGCGATTGCGCTGCCATGCCTTGCAACCCTCAAACACAACCCATAATTAATGCTTTTTCCAAGTTGAGTGGATATGTATAATGGGATCACCCTGTTATTGCAGATCCCACGGCCACAGATAATATAAGTCAACGTGTGAATGAGAGCAATCAACTCTACCTGCTCAAGCTCTTGGGACTGGCGGTGAAACTCGGGCGAGTCATGCTCCGCCACAGCCAGGACGATGTGACAATTTCCAGCCAACGGGGCCATCGCATCAACTTTTAACATCGGGCTGTTACGTGCCATGTCCTCCCTGTCAGCAAACATGTGTGTAGCGCAGCACGGGCAGCTCAAAGGTCACGTAAATGTGTGTGCAAGTCTTTTTTGGCAAAGGCAAGACTTCACCGTAACCACCAGCCCCTCCGTAATACGTTTCAATCCTGGACAGAGCGAGGGGCAGGTGCCTGTTAGGTTACTAACACTGGGGCAGTGCACAGTCGTTTCGTAGAAATAGCAACACGTCCAGTAGCTATTTTTTTTTATCGAGTGCTGCTATTGCACATTCAACCAATTCATTTGTTTGTCTTGGTTGACCCATGAAAGGCTCATGACAGGTACAGATATTCATTGGCAATGAAAATAAAACTTGGTTGTTGGTTTAAAGAAACAAAAACTCGCCCTAAAAATGCAATGTGAACATCACACGTTATTGGGCTGATCAACATTAAGTCCGTCAGGCACAAAATACAGCAGTCAATCATGTTGGCCAAATCCTCATAAAAATTAAAGCAGTACACAACTGTCTTTGTCTTTTTGATGCCTGAATATTTAAAAAAATGCTACAATCTTCGCTCACATGAGCCAAAGTCCATCACAAGACTGTACAGTGCAAAAACACGCCACGTTATCTTGATGTGCAAAGCATGCCGAAATTATTACGTTGAAGACAGCAAAATTATATCGGGTAAATGTAGATGAACAGGGTTGGGACACTCTGTTTACAGGTAAGCCAACCACATAGATTCCTATCTGAAACCGGATTCCCACCACCAAGGCCGTAGCCATGGAGTCAACATTGGGGGGGACCAAAACTTCCAGGGGGTCTGGGGGTTCCCCCCCCCCCCCCAAAAAACTAAAATTTGAAAACTAATTTCCTGCCTAAAATATAAAAAAATTCACTTACACATAGGATCGACTTTTTATTTATTTTTTACAATAATGTCTAATAGTGTATTTATTACATTTTTTGTTTAATTGTATGTAATGGCAGAGATTAGGGATTAATAATGTACAACCATAACCACAATCATATAAACAGAAATCTATTTTATACCAATATATTGGGGGAGACATTTTGAGAATATTTGAATATTGGGCACAGAAGAATTCCCTCATCAAAACACTACACCATAGGGACCACTGCATTTCCGACCAACACCACCTAGCCAGTGAACTGGAACACGTACACCAGGCCCTCAAGATGAATGGGTACTCGGACCACATTATTCGCAAAGCTGTTTCTCCAACCATGGAGAGAGAAACAACCTCCTGAGGAGCCGATCAAAACCATCACGTTACCATACGTAGCAGGTGTTACCAAAAGATTTCCAAAATCTTAAACAAACACAAGATCCAGGTCCGATTCAATACAGTACACAAAATCCGTGATCTAATCCCATCTGTGAAGGATGTCATTCCTGGCATGCAATATCCTGGAGTCTACAAACTGAGTTGTACCTGCGGTAGTAGTTACATTGGGGAAACGAAACGACATGTCTCGGACCGTGTTCGCGAACACAAGGCAGATCTGAAACACGGCAGAACCAATACCTCTGCCGTGGCTGACCATTGTTAGAACGCTGTGGGCTCGCATGATATTGTTTTATCCAAGACCAAGGTACTCTGCAAATCTTCTGGCTACTATCAAAGGTTTGTTCATGAAGCCATCCAGATATATAAACATAGACATAACTTCAACCGAGAAGATGGATACAAATTGAGCAATCATTGGAAGGATGTTATTAACTAGGTAAAACCTTAACTGCTTTATGGTTGTTAAATCATATTTGCCGGGTACTAGTCTATTTTTCCGAGTTAATTTACTAACGTCCTATTTAGAGGATATGGCATTGTCCAGTTATCTTCTTGGTTCTTTCGGTAAAGTCACGTAGAAGGAAGACGGCTGCTTGCGTTGTGGCCGAAACGTCGTGAGAATTATTTTATTATGTTTTATTTTTATTATTTTATTATTTTCCTTCTACGTGACTTTACCGAAAGAACCAAGAAGATGAATCCCTGCAGTCACGAAAGCTTTAAATCGAAATTGTCCAGTTAGTTTACCCACTCATATTTTAGTACTGCTTTTTGCATATATAGAATTAACATTATTCAAAAACATTATACAATGATACTCACAAAGTCATTTTGAGATGCTCATTCACGTAGGTTTCCACTAGGGGCCGGAGGTCAAACACCCCACTCAGCAGGAACCCACCTGGGAACAGAAACAAAGTGTAGATATGAGGCACTTGTCTGCTGTGGCCGGATAAGTTGCATGATTATTTCGTATGGCTCATTGCCCACATTCGACACGCCATTTTGAAACAGGCCTCAAACCAGTGGTGGCTCCTGCAAAATCTCTCAGGGGGGGCAAATGTCTGGATGATTGATAAGGATAAGATCCACCCATGCAATGGATAAATTAACAGCTTAAGCATGTAAAGGCAACTTCACTACTTTAATATTAAGGAAAAATAAAGTGACTCTTACTATACATCTCCTTGTTTGTTTCTATACTCACTATTATTACAATCCACTCGGTTTCTTTTATTAAAGATTCCACTAGGTGGCGACAAATAATATTGTTGACTGAAACGTGCTTACGTATGATGACGTAAGCACGTTAGTGCGAGCCCTCCCAGAAGCTATAGAGAATGCATTGGAGCGCCCGCCGTTCGAAAAAAAACATCTTTGAATGTAAGTCTATGGGAACACTCTGGGCGATTCTCAGCCAGAGTGAAATCGCCCAAAAAGAGGCAGTACTCCACAGAACGTGACATGACGCTGATTGGACTATATTCAGAGGCACAGTAACGCCTAGCGTAACTTTGGTTGAATGAGATTTTGAATGTGATTGAAAAAGTCCCTTTCACACATTGGTGGTGCGTCGCCCAATCGCCCTAATGAAGAAACCGCCCCTGCCACAAACAATGTTAGTCTGTCACTGCAAGCCACTTCACATATAATCAGGTACTAGAGGGAAATATTTTCTACCTGTTTCAAAGTGTTGCATTGTCATTCACCTATTGCTTTTCAAGTAGTGCTGAGTAGACAATCAATGCGGAATTCCTAGCTTGATCAAACTTTAAGTATCAACTAATGTGTGGCCCGGTATTTAAAAGTTCTAATCGGGCCTCAGAAAAGAAAAGCATGCGCCACCGCTGTTGAAGAAAAACGCTCAAACGCCAAAACTAACAGGTGCCCATTGGTAAGCGAAACCCTGGGTACATACACCTTTGATGTCAGGGGTCACACCATACTCTGGAAGCGACCAATCGGTGGCGAGGACCATGGCAGCCAGGTGAGCACCGGCAGAGTGACCACACAGATACATTCCACTGCATTCCACACGGCAACATTTATCACCATCATTAAAGCAGTGAAAGCTACAACTATTGTGTTGACATCTCCGTACAGAAGAACCCTTTGAGGGCAGCACATTGTGATGTGAACGGCCCTTTTGTTCATCCAGTGATTGACGAGGACCTCCCCATGCCGTGCAGGTCGTGGGGGTTATTTTACCATACTTTACCACGCTAGTCAGCGTGGGTTGGTAAAGGCAGGCAGCGTGTATATAGTACAGTACAACAATGTTGTTGCTCTGCCCTCTATTTCAAATGTCACTCTGTAGCAGCCTACAACACCTGTTTTAGTGCAAGGTAGTTGCTGATCCAAGCACTATACAGACTCAAACAGCTTAGCGTCAGAGATCTGATATTGGGCCCATTATAGGTGATTTGGGTAAAGGCATTGTGGTATAAAATTGTAGCATTCCTTGAATCTTACTTTAAACAAATTTCCAAAGGTCAAGAACTCTCATCAATTACTTCAGTTACCACTCGCAGTATGATTACATTTCGTCTTATACATATTTCATTCCATATTTGATCATATCTTGCCATGAGAAACATTACCTGAAGTGTGAATATTGTCGAGATATGAAGGCAACAGCTCTCCGCATCTGGTCAACCATGAGATCCATGCTTCCTACAAAATATCATAACTCTATCACATCATGAATCAGTGTTTACTGTGCATACTTATTATAACCAATGTATGCTACTTTTTGAATGTGCCCAATCTCATCATATATTGGCAGGTAAGAAGGGTTGAGCCTATATAATGCTGAGATGGGCCAACAACCATGCATAAGAGGTGTTACAGGCAACGGGTCAAAATGTAGGCAGCAGAGGGTGGTACAACAATATCCGATGTACTTATATACTGTCAAATATATGCTCTGCACCTTTGCCAATCTGCACTAACCAACGTAGTAAAATATGGTAAAATAAACCCCACAACCTGTATGGCATGGGAGGTCTTCATCCAGCAGTAGATTGGCAAAGGTCTGCAGATGTAAATATACATTCTGACAGATACTAATTATAATCAGTGCTTACTCTATAATATAAAGCCAATGAACAAGTTTGCATCAAAATCTCTGTTCTGTAAACAGTCTGTGTATTTACAGTCTTTGGTGCAAGATATTATCTCCTTCGCCTGGTATGCAGGAGGTCATGGATTTTATCCCGACCCCAACACCTATATATTTGTGAATTTGCATGTTATCTCCTTGGTGGTAGTGTGGATTTTCTCCAGGTCCTCCAGTTTTTCCCTCCACATTCAGAAACATGTGTCTATAACACATTCCTGCGGAGGGAGCTGGTAGGAATGTTGGGTTACTCGGTCAATGGCCAGGGTCAACGGTGGCGTGGTGTATTCCGCAAATATGCCCAACTGTGAGGGCGGGCACAAGCCGGCGTGAGTAGGTTAAACGTTGAGTTTTATAAGGGCACCACGGGGTGACCAGCCCCTCCCCACCCAGCCCCACCCCTCCCACCCCCCACCCAGCCCCTCCCCACCCTCCCCACCCAGCCCCTCCCCACCCTCCCCTCCCCACCCAGCCCTCCCCACCCAGCCCCTCCCCACCCTCCCCACCCTCCCCACCCAGCCCCACCCTCCCCACCCAGCCCCTCCCCACCAAGCCCTCCCCACCCAGCCCCTCCCCACCCTCCCCACCCAGCCCCTCCACACCAAGCACCTCCCTGCACGACGGACGGACGGACACAATAATCCCCTGTGGGTTGGTGGAACCAGTGGGTTCCTCCCAGTATTATTTGGCTGCTACTATACGTTCCAAAATATATGATACGCCACTTTCATGAGCAATCATGTTTGGCCAGCTTGCCTCTGAAATATGTCTCACAGCTGAGTGGACTTTGCCTGCTAAAATAAAATAGTTTAGCTCAGTTTGTAAGGTCATGTTACAGACACGTACACAAACACGACATCTCCTGACCTTTAGGACTAAGAGTGTAGCTCAGAGCCACCACCACAGCTCCAGATTCGACCAGGGGAGGCACCATATATCCAGAAAACTCCTTCCTAAAAAAAGGCACGCACACACACACCAGTCATCAAAGTGGGGCACTGCAATATTTTTGTGGAAACTTTCTCGACACTGTTGATTCTGCATTAGGATGAATCCATTTCATAGACTGTACTGCAGATAAATGATTCACCAGTGCCTCATAAGAATAATCTAGTGATGGCCATTCAGGGATGTGCTTTCACAAAGATAGGTGGGTACTGTTGTCAATGTTTTATTTACACATAAATAAACATGATAAAGTTTGGGGAGCTAGATTTGAAAAAGTGATGAAGATCCATTTATTTTTCGATTTAAAGCTTTGGTGACTGCAGGGATTCATCTTCTTGGTTCTTTCGGTAAAGTCACGTAGAATTGAAATAATAAAATAATAAAAATAAAACATAATAAAATAATTCTCACGACGTCTCCCCGACAGACCTGTTCTCCACCTGAGGACGGCTACTTGCATTGCGGCCGAAACGTCGTGAGAATTATTTTATTATGTTTTATTTTTATTATTTCATTATTTCAATTCTACATGACTTTATCGAAAGAACCAAGAAGATGAAAAGATCCATTTATTTCACCGCCCATAACCTGTATGAGGAGACTGTAATACATTGATTGTGGGCGTAAACACTCCCCCAAAGCGGGAATTTTGATAATTTCATGAACATGGCTAAAATATATATATTTTTAATAGTTGCATGCATGTCGTGTGGTCAGCGCTCATACCCAAGGATACGCCAGTAGCCTCCGTGAATGTAAACGAAGACTGGGGGAGCTTGCCGAGGTGACGTGAGGCCATCAGCAGGAATGCGTGGACGTGAGAAACGCAGACATAAGATACACAAACATCCACCGATTAAAACATATATACTGTCAAGCGTGTACGTAAATTAATAGTGAGAGTGCAGGCTATTTGCAAAAGCACCTGGGTTTGGTTTCAGAGGCATATAAATATCCATCTTTTCGTCATCTCCGGGGCCGTAGGAGACGTCCAGAATGGTTTCTGCGACAGCTTTCCCACGTGCAGTCCCTGATGCACAGCGGAGTCAATGGGCAGGTGTAAGTCGCATGGCAGCCCAACTCCACAGAGCTTTGGGTATGGAATGTACAGGGTAAGACAAGGGAGTGGTGGAAATTATACACTTTCTGTCTCTCCTCTTAAGCAATTTATATATTTTTTAAATATATATATATGGTTTATAGCATTTCAAATGTACAGGGTGAGACAAGGGAGTGGTGGAAATTATACACTTTCTGTCTCTCCTCTTAAGCAATTTATATATTTTTTAAATATATATATATGGTTTATAGCATTTCAAATGTACAGGGTGAGACAAGGGAGTGGTGGAAATTATATACTTTCTGTCTCTCCTCTTAAGCAATTTATATATTTTTTAAATATATATATATGGTTTATAGCATTTCAAATGTACAGGGTGAGACAAGGGAGTGGTGGAAATTATATACTTTCTGTCTCTCCTCTTAAGCAATTTATATATTTTTTAAATATATATATATGGTTTATAGCATTTCAAATGTACAGGGTGAGACAAGGGAGTGGTGGAAATTATATACTTTCTGTCTCTCCTCTTAAGCAATTTATATATTTTTTAAATATATATATATGGTTTATAGCATTTCAAATGTACAGGGTGAGACAAGGGAGTGGTGGAAATTATATACTTTCTGTCTCTCCTCTTAAGCAATTTATATATTTTTTAAATATATATATATGGTTTATAGCATTTCAAATGTACAGGGTGAGACAAGGGAGTGGTGGAAATTATACACTTTCTGTCTCTCCTCTTAAGCAATTTATATATTTTTTAAATATATATATATGGTTTATAGCATTTCAAATGTACAGGGTGAGACAAGGGAGTGGTGGAAATTATACACTTTCTGTCTCTCCTCTTAAGCAATTTATATATTTTTTAAATATATATATATGGTTTATAGCATTTCAAATGTACAGGGTGAGACAAGGGAGTGGTGGAAATTATATACTTTCTGTCTCTCCTCTTAAGCAATTTATATATTTTTTAAATATATATATATGGTTTATAGCAGGGGTCGGGAACCTTTTTGACTGGGAGAGCCATAAAAGCCAAATATTTCTAAATATATTTCATTGAGCGCCATATAGTATTTTTAACGTATAATAAATTAAATGTCTTACTTTTAATGCGACTTCTGCTGCTATATGGTTTTGCTGATGGCCTTGTAGTCTGGTTCATACGTGGTGAGGTTGAGCTTCATGCAGGCGTGACCCGTGAAATTTATCTTCAAAACTAATTTCTGTTTACTTTAAAATGACACAGTATTATTAAACAATATCACAAGTATTTTAAAATCAGTTCCAAACTGATTTTTTTTTTTTTATTATTTTTTTCAACTCAAACTTGTCTGGGAGCCATATGCCGTCACTGGAAGAGCCATATATGGCTCGCGAGCCATAGGTTCCCGACCGCTGGTTTATAGCATTTCACTCCACATCTTCTGGCTAACTCCTGAATGTAAAATTGCTCAACGACAGAAGAGGTGAAAAATACTAAGCACAACTAACCTGAAAAAAGTATGAATACTCAATGGGCTATTTTACTTTAAATATATTAACCAATTGCATGCAAATTATTTGACAAAAGCATTACAGTATTGTAAAAAAACACATTTAAATGATATGCAGTGTTTCTCCGCATTTTATTAAAGTGTTGTCAAAATTTGTCCAATGTATTTTTTTTATCAGAGCCCCATTGCAAGTGATCTTTAATATCATTGCACTCAAATTTATTTCAAGGTGACCAACATGCTTTGGAAATAGCGACTGATTTCTACATACCTTCCTGCAGGGCTTTGATGTGTGCATCAACCACGGGATGTTCATTGCTGCCTTCAAATGGCTGGATGATCCTCTTAGACCACAGGGTTGGAGAAAATTGCCTGTTGCACTCCTTTGGGGCATGTGCAGAAACGAACAGGTTATACGACTCTTCACACACTTTTAATTGCTATTCATAATAAATTTGGCGCACAGCCAGCCTCTTATTTTTTTGTAAAGTGTCTCAATATCGATTTAAAGCTTTCGTGACTGCAGGGATTCATCTTCTTGGTTCTTTCGGTAAAGTCACGTAGAAGGGAAGTAATAAAATAATAAAAATAAAACATAATAAAACAATTCTCACGACGTTTCGGCCACAACGCAAGCAGCCGTCCTCAGGTGAAAACCAGGTCCGTCGAGGCGACAGAGTCTGAATGAAACAGCACACGAGCTTGGAGCATATATATAAGCTGGGCGCATTGACAAAGGAATTTGCATATCAAAAGGAATTTAGCATATTTATGGGAAATGCAGGAATGTGATTAGTACTGCATATGCATGTGCATTATGCAGGATTAACAGCATCAAAGGGAGCTGCAGTTACTGCTACTGCAGCAGTTGCTGCTGCTGCTGCAGTTTCTACTGCTGCTGCAGTTGCTGCTGCTGCTGCAGTTGCTGCTGCTGCTGCACTTGCTGCTGCTGCAGTTGCTGCCTTATCCATTTTAATATAACACTATGTATTATTCTACCCACCCTAATGTGTATCATACTGCTATATGTTTACTGTACAATTACGACACCATACATTACTCTGCACACTGCACCATGCCAGTCAGTGGAACGCGGTCTGGAAATCACCGTTAACGTGAACACAATCAGTTAAGATCCGAAATGGTTTATTACGTCCTTCCAATGATTGCTAAGCCAGAATCCATCTTCTCGGTTGAAATTGTCTCTGTGTTTGTATATGTGGATCGCCTCATGAACGAATCTCTCATGATAGCCAGATGGCTTGCAGAGAACCTCTGTCTTGGAGAAGTCAATGTCATGTGAGCCCACTGAATTGTAACAGTGATCTGCCACGGCTGAGGTGTTTGTCCTACCGTGTTTCAGGTCTGCCTTATGTTCACGGATGCGGTCCGAGACATGTCGTTTGGTTTCTCCAATGTAACTGCTACCACAGAGGAAACTTAGTTTGTAGACGCCAGGGTACTGTATGTCGGCTGGGTGTATGGAATTGATGTGTATGTCGACCACATCAATTCCATACACCCAGCCATTAGATTCACCATGGAAGTCGAAAATGATGGCAAGCTACCCTTTTTGGATGTCCTAATCAAAAGGAGACCTGGTGGTTCAATGAGCCACTCTGTCTACAGGAAAGCCACCCACACGGATGCTTATCTAAAACCGGATTCCCACCACCATCCATCCCAGAAGAATTCCCTCATCAAGACTCTATATCATAGAGCCCAATGCATCTCCGACCATGAACACATTTCCAGTGAACTCAAACACGTACGCCAAGCTCTTAAGGATAATGGTTACTCCGACTACACAATCCGCAAAGCCATCACTCCAACCATCAAGAAGGATCCTGTTGAGGAGCCTTTCAAGACCATCACCTTACCCTACATTGCTGGGGTCACAAAAAAGATCTCCAAAATCCTGATTAAACACAAGATCCAGGTCCGATTCAACACAGTACATAAAATCCGTGATCTGGTCCCGTCTGTAAAAGATGTGGTTCCAGACATACAGTACCCTGGCGTCTACAAACTAAGTTGCCTCTGTGGTAGCAGTTACATTGGAGAAACCAAACGACATGTCTCGGACCGCATCCGTGAACATAAGGCAGACCTGAAACACGGTAGGACAAACACCTCAGCCGTGGCAGATCACTGTTACAATTCAGTGGGCTCACATGACATTGACTTCTCCAAGACAGAGGTTCTCTGCAAGCCATCTGGCTATCATGAGAGATTCGTTCATGAGGCGATCCACATATACAAACACAGAGACAATTTCAACCGAGAAGATGGATTCTGGCTTAGCAATCATTGGAAGGACGTAATAAACCATTTCGGATCTTAACTGATTGTGTTCACGTTAACGGTGATTTCCAGACCGCGTTCCACTGACTGGCATGGTGCAGTGTGCAGAGTAATGTATGGTGTCGTAATTGTACAGTAAACATATAGCAGTATGATACACATTAGGGTGGGTAGAATAATACATAGTGTTATATTAAAATGGATAAGGCAGCAACTGCAGCAGCAGCAAGTGCAGCAGCAGCAGCAAGTGCAGCAGCAGCAGCAACTGCAGCAGCAGCAGCAACTGCAGCAGCAGCAGAAACTGCAGCAGCAGCAGCAACTGCTGCAGTAGCAGTAACTGCAGCTCCCTTTGATGCTGTTAATCCTGCATAATGCACATGCATATGCAGTACTAATCACATTCCTGCATTTCCCATAAATATGCTAAATTCCTTTTGATATGCAAATTCCTTTGTCAATGCGCCCAGCTTATATATATGCTCCAAGCTCGTGTGCTGTTTCATTCAGACTCTGTCGCCTCGACGGACCTGGTTTTCACCTGAGGACGGCTGCTTGCGTTGTGGCCGAAACGTCGTGAGAATTGTTTTATTATGTTTTATTTTTATTATTTTATTACTTCCCTTCTACGTGACTTTACCGAAAGAACCAAGAAGATGTCTCAATATCACTGCAGCAAATGCATCGTAGTCATCATCAGTGTGAAATTCCACACCACATTCGGCTTGCGCAGGCTTAGAAAACATAAATAACGAAGTGCCGAATGAGGAAATATTCACAGAAAATCACAAGTTTGCATATTATCAATTTGCAGACTCTAAATGTCATCCAAGTAGACTTTAATCATACACTGTATATACAGTGTACAAAAATGTCCAAAACAGTATGTGTCAATGTGCACGGGGAGCGGTGGCGCAGTGGTTAGGGCACTCCACGACGAACCTATGAAGCTGGCCACCTGGGTTTCATTCCTGGACACGGCCGTCAGTGGTGAAATTTAAACGGGTCCTCGGGTCTTTTCCTTAAGCAACCCGCATTGACCAGTCTAGTGAAGTATGGTCAAACAACCACAATGACCAAACACGATGTGGTGAGTTTTCCATTAAGCAACTGATTGACCAAGGGTCTGAAATAATGATGCGTGCACATACTGTATACCCAACACGCGTTACGTTAACATATGGTACACGGTCTAAAAAACATGCGCAGTGCACGTATCAAATACACAAATACACGTGCAGAGATACATACAAGTGTAGTTTGTCAATTCAGACACACTAATAGTAGGAGGCATACACGTTTATTCTACACTTCCCACAGTATAGGGGATAACTATATATGGGTGAGGACAGCCAGCACGCTGCCTGACCCAACACGGACGACGAGTTGAAGACGGGGACGAAAACTTGTGAAGACGACAGGTTCTATTGCAAACCGCAGCAGCCCCGACCCAGCGTCGAGGCCTCCCTTTTATCCTCCCCAGCGTGGCCTGGCTCCACCCTCGGCCACGCCCCCCTTTGGAACCCACCAGAAGGCTCTGGCTCTGCCCCACGTGTTCCCTCTGCTGCCACCTTTACCCTACATTCGTGTCTACCACGTGACCTACTGGCAGACCGGCCGCTGTACCCAAAAATGCCCTTCACTGCCAGCAACCGGCGCTACGCACTCCGGTGCCACACTTCACCTGCCCTGCTTGTAGACTGGGCTGTTACACCCATTTAGTGCGTACGCATGGAGGGGGTTTAACCCAAATGCGTATGCTTGCGTTTGGGGGGGTCTACTGACAATGTACGTACGCATAGGAAACGGGGGGGGGGGGGTGAAGCCTTGATAAAAATTTGTCTACATTGGCCTTCAAATGAGCCACAGTTCAGTTCCTTCAGCTGTCAGACAAGAAGTGGGACTGTGGGAGACGTGTCACTTCGTGTGCCACCGTGCCCCTGCCTGCAGCTATCACGCAGCTCAGCAAAATAAGTGGCCAAGGTACCGCAAACTTAATTGGTTAATGTGTTTACTTAAACACGTTAATATTATTAATCCTTGATCGTTTCTGCGTGGATTAAATATCGGCCGTTCTATAGGATTCGGGGGGGGGGGTGTAAAAAGTCTGCGTGCGTACAGGGAGGGGGGAAGAGGTCAAGTTTGGACAGATTTTTGCGTACGGACTAAGTGGATGGCCCCTAAACCAGCTCTGCGCACCGGAGTGACCCATTCTATGTCACTACACAAGTATTATATAGTCATCATTATCAGCCATGATCAATACACTGTTGGATTAACCACGCTTCCCCCTTCCCATGCTACCATCTTATCGCAGTCCTGCGGTGTAACAAACTATAACATCCGTCGGTTTAATTTGCAGCTGAACGACCCAGGCTGTAGATGTTTAGTGTCTAAATTTTGTTGTTAACAAAAAAAAAACAAAAGAACCCGCATTCGTTTCGTGATCTACATTCAGTTTTCAGTTTCATTTATTAGGTAGCCCTGTGAGCCACTCGGCTCTTGAAACGTGAACAAGAAAACTTCTTAAAGTGACTATGCGCAAACAGAAAAATCCAGTGAAAAACAGCAAAATCTTCCAGAAAAGCACCGTACACCAACGCTGTGTGCACAAATCCCAGTGGGATGCAAGTCAAACAACGCCAACAACCACAAGACAATGTAGATTAAAGCCATCGGTCTAACACCGTACTACAACAAACAAACATGGCCAAACCAAAAAACGTTTCGAAATCACCAAAATAAAGCCAAAAAAACAATGTAACATTGATCATCGGAACTGTGACCGAAATTTCACAATGAACGACATGCACGCTGATTACGCGAGCGTCGGTTGAATCGAGTTCCTTTGCAACATCGTTCAGTCGTCTAAAGTCCGTGTTTCTAATCAGCACCGCTGCGTTTAATTACGGCCGCGTCCTCTTATGCAATAAAGCAAACAAACACTGAATCAAGAGCCGAATGGCTCACGGGGTTACTCCAAATTAATCTTAAAACTGAAACTGAAAAACTGAGCTGTCAAGTGCGAGCACGAACACACAACGATGGCACGACTACTCCCTGTTAGAAGCCGAGTGTTTTACTTATAAACGCCGTTCGTGGACTATCACTGGACGTTTGAAGATGTGTGTAACAACGACGTCGTAAACCCTCGGGGTCAATCCACTGCCGCACGAGCCAGAGTGGTGAAGCGTGGTCAATGCAATGCACCGCGTGAAGAGCACCCGCACGCAAATGTTGCTGACAGTGGCACGGTACAGTCTTACAAATTGGAACGTTACAATGAAAGTGTTGTTGCTGCTGTTGTTCGCACTTGCCTCCTTGTCCATAGTCTCCCTTGCCTGCGTTGCACCGCTGCGTTGAGCCATGACCACGAGGTTTCTCTCTTGAGAGAAGACTAACAATATACTGCAATTTATATGCTGCCAGCAGCAGTAGCAGCCAACTCAGTGTGGGAGCACAGCGTGTGATGGGGTGGTGGGTGGGCAAGCTCGGTTTGTCACGACACGCCCAGTGAACTTTGTTTACAATGCTTTTACATCACTGGATACATCTCCCCCTGCGTGTGGATTGCATCGCTGTGAATCCCTTATCAAGTGCCTTAGCTTATTACACACCAATTCAGACCTTATCGGTCACACCGTGCCCCTTCTAAATATCAACGTTTATCCTAAAATTTCCATCATAAGGGAGAAACACAAACAAACTAAAATAAATGTGCCCTTATTCAAACGATATCTGCCTACCCCTCCTTATTACAGACCAATTCAGACCTTACCGGTCACACCGTGCGCCTTCTCAATCTCAACGTTCACCCTACACAAATTGACACACGTAAACACGTGTTTGTGTCCGTATTTAAACGGCTGTACGCCGCATGGACCTGAACACTCAATTTCCCTGTACAATATTCATATTTCGATTTAAAGCTTTCGTGACTGCAGGGATTCATCTTCTTGGTTCTTTCGGTAAAGTCATGTAGAAGGGAAATATTAAAATAATAAAAATAAAACATAATAAAATAATTCTCACGACGTTTCGGCCACAACGCAAGCAGCCGTCCTCAGGTGAAGAACAGAACTGTCTGTCAGACCTGTTCTTCACCTGATGACTTTACCGAAAGAACCAAGAAGAATATTCATATTCTTGGTGGTTCAACGCGCGCATATTCGAGAACGGCTGCATGTCCGCGCTTGGCAGCCAGAAGAAGGTGATTGGTGATTGGTGATCATTATCATCATGGGATCGTCGAGAGCAGCCAGGGTCAGGGTGACCTTTGGGGTAATTCCGTTGGGGTAAATAAGGGAAACGGAATTATAAAGACCGGTTTCTGCTAATCATCGAGGGATCTACTGGAGAATGTTCTGGAAGGGGTCGCGGGGGATATTTAAGGGGCCGTCCATAAATGGCGTCGCGCGATTTTGGACAATTTTTGACACCCCCCCCCCGCCCCCCCTAGTCACACGGCGTCACAAAAAGTCAGACCCCCCCTCAAATATGACGTCACAAAGCTCTGCCCCCCTCCCCCAAAAAATATATAAAACATGCGTAAAATCGCTTTAAACTATTGTCATTGTAGTGCGTATTTAATGTGCCGCTGCACTCTGATGTTGTAGGAGAAAACATTTATTAAAAGTCTATTTAATTCAGTAGAACCTGTTGCCTATATTTATTTAAAGTTGCGCATTTTGATGTGACGTCACATTTCTCAAACCCATCCCCCCCTCGTCACACATCGTCACAAATATCTGACCCCCATCCCCCCTAGGTGCGTGACGTCATTTATGGACGACCCTATAGGAACGCGGCGAGCGAGGGAGCGAACGAGCGACGGACGGCGGATCCTCGGCATAACTAAAACAATTGTGATATAAACAGACAAGAAGAAGTCGTCCGCCTTTATTTACAACACTACACAAGAATGCGGGGTAAACCATATGGGTTGACAGGTATGGGATTGAGTGGTCAATTCGTGTCCGGTTTTGTATTTTAACGAACCGGTCACCCCGTGCCCCTTCTCAATCTCAACGTTCACCCTACACAAATTGACACACGTAAACACGTGTTTGGGTCCGTATATAAACGGCTGTACGCCGCATGGACCTGAAAACTCAATTTCCCTGTACAATATTCATATTTCGATTTAAAGCTTTCGTGACTGCAGGGATTCATCTTCTTGGTTCTTTCGGTAAAGTCACGTAGAAGGGAAATATTAAAATAATAAAAATAAAACATAATAAAATAATTCTCACGACGTTTCGGCCACAACGCAAGCAGCCGTCCACAGGTGAAGAACAGGTCTGTCTGTCAGACCTGTTCTTCACCTGAGGACTTTACCGAAAGAAACAAGAAGAATATTCATATTCTTGGTGGTTCAACGCGCGCATATTCGAGAACGGCTGCATGTCCGCGCTTGGCAGCCAGAAGAAGGTGATTGGTGATTGGTGATCATTATCATCATGGGATCGTCGAGAGCAGCCAGGGTCAGGGTGACCTTTGGGGTAATTCCGTTGGGGTAAATAAGGGAAACGGAATTAAAAAGACCGGTTTCTGCTAATCATCGAGGGATCTTCTGGAGAATGTTCTGGAAGGGGTCGCGGGGGATATATAAGGGGCCGTCCATAAATGGCGTCACGCGATTTTGGACAATTTTTGACACCCCCCCCCCCGCCCCCCCTAGTCACACGGCGTCACAAAAAGTCAGACCCCCACTCAAATATGACGTCACAAAGCTCTGCCCCCCCCCCAAAAAATATATAAAACATGCGTAAAATCGCTTTAAACTATTTTCATTGTAGTGCGTATTTAATGTGGCGCTGCACTCTGATGTTGTAGGAGAAAACATTTATCAAAAAGTATATTTCATTCAGTAGAACGTGTTGCCTATATTTATTTAAAGTTGCGCATTTTGATGTGACGTCACATTTTTCAAACCCATCCCCCCCTCGTCACACATCGTCACAAATATCTGACCCCCCCCCCTAGGTGCGTGACGTCATTTATGGACGGCCCCATAGGGATGCGGCGAGCGAGGGAGCGAACGAGCGACGGACGGCGGATCCTCGGCATAACTAAAACAAGTGTTCTATAAACAGACAAGAAGATGCCGTCCGCCTTAATTTACAACACTACACAAGAATGCGGGGTAAACCATATGGGTTGACAGGTATGGGATTGAGTGGTCACTTCGTGTCCGGTTTTGTATTTTAACGAACCAGTCACCCCGTGCCCCTTCTCAATCTCAACGTTCACCCTACACAAATTGACACACGTAAACACGTGTTTGGGTCCGTATATAAACGGCTGTACGCCGCATGGACCTGAAAACTCAATTTCCCTGTACAATATTCATATTTCGATTTAAAGCTTTCGTGACTGCAGGGATTCATCTTCTTGGTTCTTTCGGTAAAGTCACGTAGAAGGGAAATAATAAAATAATAAAAATAAAACATAACAAAATAATTCTCGCGACGTTTCGGCCACAACGCAAGCAGCCGTCCTCAGGTGAAGAACAGGTCTGTCTGTCAGACCTGTTCTTCACCTGAGGACTTTACCGAAAGAACCAAGAAGAATATTCATATTCTTGGTGGTTCAACGCGCGCATATTCGAGAACGGCTGCATGTCCGCGCTTGGCAGCCAGAAGAAGGTGATTGGTGATTGGTGATCATTATCATCATGGGATCGTCGAGAGCAGCCAGGGTCAGGGTGACCTTTGGGGTAATTCCGTTGGGGTAAATAAGGGAAACGGAATTCAAAAGACCGGTATCTGCTAATCATCGAGGGATCTACTGGAGAATGTTCTGGAAGGGGTCGCGGGGGATATATAAGGGGCCGTCCATAAATGGCGTCACGCGATTTTGGACAATTTTTGACACCCCCCCCCCGCCCCCCCTAGTCACACGGCGTCACAAAAAGTCAGACCCCCACTCAAATATGACGTCACAAAGCTCTGCCCCCCCCCCAAAATATATATATAAAACATGCTTCAAATCGCTTTAAACTATTGTGATTGTAGTGCGTATTTAACGTGGCGCTGCACTCTGATGTTGTAGGAGAAAACATTTATCAAAAAGTCTATTTAAGTAGAACGTGTTGTCTATATTTATTTAAAGTTGCGCATTTTGATGTGACGTCACATTTCTCAAACCCGTCCCCCCCTCGTCACACATCGTCACAAATGTCTGACCCCCCCCCCCTAGGTGCGTGACGTCATTTATGGACGGCCCCATAGGGACGCGGCGAGCGAGGGAGCGAACGAGCGACGGACGACGGATCCTCGGCATAACTAAAACAATTGTGATATAAACAGACAAGAAGAAGTCGTCCGCCTTTATTTACAACACTACACAAGAATGCGGGGTAAACCATATGGGTTGACAGGTATGGGATTGAGTGGTCACTTCGTGTCCGGTTTTGTATTTTAACGAACCGGTCACCCCGTGCCCCTTCTCAATCTCAACGTTCACCCTACACAAATTGACACACGTAAACACGTGTTTGGGTCCGTATATAAACGGCTGTACGCCGCATGGACCTGAAAACGCAATTTCCCTGTACAATATTCATATTTCGATTTAAAGCTTTCGTGACTGCAGGGATTCATCTTCTTGGTTCTTTCGGTAAAGTCACGTAGAAGGGAAATAATAAAATAATAAAAATAAAACATAACAAAATAATTCTCGCGACGTTTCGGCCACAACGCAAGCAGCCGTCCTCAGGTGAAGAACAGAACTGTCTGTCAGACCTGTTCTTCACCTGATGACTTTACCGAAAGAACCAAGAAGAATATTCATATTCTTGGTGGTTCAACGCGCGCATATTCGAGAACGGCTGCATGTCCGCGCTTGGCAGCCAGAAGAAGGTGATTGGTGATTGGTGATCATTATCATCATGGGATCGTCGAGAGCAGCCAGGGTCAGGGTGACCTTTGGGGTAATTCCGTTGGGGTAAATAAGGGAAACGGAATTATAAAGACCGGTGTCTGCTAATCATCGAGGGATCTTCTGGAGAATGTTCTGGAAGGGGTCGCGGGGGATATATAAGGGGCCGTCCATAAATGGCGTCACGCGATTTTGGACAATTTTTGACACCCCCCCCCCCGCCCCCCCTAGTCACACGGCGTCACAAAAAGTCAGACCCCCACTCAAATATGACGTCACAAAGCTCTGCCCCCCCCCCCCCCCAAAATATATATATAAAACATGCTTCAAATCGCTTTAAACTATTGTGATTGTAGTGCGTATTTAACGTGGCGCTGCACTCTGATGTTGTAGGAGAAAACATTTATCAAAAAGTCTATTTAAGTAGAACGTGTTGTCTATATTTATTTAAAGTTGCGCATTTTTATGTGACGTCACATTTCTCAAACCCGTCCCCCCCTCGTAACACATCGTCACAAATGTCTGACCCCCCCCACCCCCTAGGTGCGTGACGTCATTTATGGACGGCCCCATAGGGACGCGGCGAG